CTAAGGGAATCCTTCGTTATTCTGCTTATAATGAGTTGTAGATGTTACCCGTTTGGTCGAAGTGAAATCCAATTTCACTTCAAACTCTTCTGTCATCATCTTTATTGTTATTTCTTCTTTTGTTTTTCTTTCACTTTGATGTCAAACTGATGTGATGATGGGTTCGACAGAAGCGAAGTAGTGCATTGAATGATAATAGTGATGTCTTATTTTGGAGTTTTGTCCTTTTTCTTTGTTGTTAGTTCGACAAGTCAAATTTTAAATTCAAAGATTGCCATATACATGCCTTGTTCTGTGAAATTGAAAGTTCATTGTTTGGTTGGGTAAGTAAAATCGCCTCAATATAGTTATTTACCTTGGGTCGACTCGCATTTGTCATTACTTTTCTCTTCTGTCGTCTCTTTCATGTTGCGCTAGTCTGACCTTTCTTGTTACATGTTGTCGTGTGTCTATTGATCCGATTAGATACTATCCATGGATATGCATTTTCTATTAAGTTAGTTTGTTTTCTTGTATATGTGCCCGTTGAATCGAATATTAATTCCTTTTGTTTATTGTGTGGCATGTAAAATCCGTTTGAGTTCACCACGAACTCTCCTTCTCCGTATCTCGAGAGAGTCGTAAAGACTCATAGTCTTTTACCAAGCAAGACAACCTTAAGAGAGGCGTACAAGTCATGAAGTTGGAAGGAGAATCCAAAGTGGATTAGAAGACGTTTCTTTATTTTATTTCCGTATTTTATTTTGTAATGGGCATAAGCCCTTGTCATTTTCCTTTCCTTATTCCTCTTATATTTTATCTTGTAATGTTTAGACTAGGACAGGTGGCAAAATGGGTCGAAACACCCAAAAACAGGTGGGTCCAAAACTCGGTCAAGGTGAACAGTACCCGAGTTTGGACCCAAAAATCTCTCTCTCTCTCTCTCCTTATTACTTGCTTATGTGCGTTGTTTAAAGTATCGTTAGTGTTAGGACTAGAAAAATCCAAATCTCCTTCGAAACGCCTTTCTATTTTATCAAGCTAAAACTAAGTCTTAAAATATTGGACGTTTCAAATTCACTAGTTCGTTTAGAGTTTAAAATTTAAAAAGTTTAACTTTAAAAGAATCTCAAAAACAATAAGTATTTCAACTTTTAGATTTGTCCAAATAAAACTCTAATAAAGGTTCAACTTCAAATTCGCAAAAGGTTAAAAAGTAGTCAAATAAGTTAATCGTCGGAAAACCGTATTTAACGGAGTGTCTTAGGTGCCTTACACCTTCCTAAGACACTAATAAGAATCCCGAACCCTTAAAAAATGTTTCAAAACAATTGTTCTGTTTAGGTTGTTTAGAAACAAAGTTTTCTTGATTTTTCTTAAAAATTAAGTGGCGACTCCTAAAAGTCGAAAAACAAACTCTTTTCGAAAATCACCCCCTTTTTTCGGTAAAACAGAAATGGCGACTCCGCTGGGGACTTGGAGGATTCTAACCTTAAGATTAACGTATTTGATTATTTGTGATTAACTGTTTAAGTGTTTAAATTAATTAGATTTTTTAAACTGTTGCATACATAGCATACATACTTCCGTCAAACGACACTTTTTTACATTTTCACTAAAGGACGATTATGCGGGTTCGCAGTCATTCGTTAACCAAAAATCTTCTCGGGGCACCCTGACGAGTGTAGTTGATTACTTGATAGTCAACGATCGTTAATTGTCCCAGCCCAAGTAGTCCGCTTGGGTTACCCATTCCACTTTAAATATAACCCACTCTTAGTCAAACTAGGATAGAGCGAAACCAAATCCCGAAAATAGTGCATTGGCCTAGGATGACCCGACACCCAAGGAGTGTCGGGCCCATTAGAAAAGTCCACCTTGAGTCCAAAGAGCCTGCGGCTCGATAGGACGCTCATGTTTGTTGTTTAAATTTGAAGGATGTATTGCGTGTTTAACTAGTTGTTGTATCGGGGGGATTGAAATTAACTAGTTGTATGTTTTTGTAGATGTCAAGTCAGTTCCTTCACTTCAAAATGGTCACCCAGGCATCCGACATTCTTCGAATATGGTGGGGCAATCTTAAGGAGTGTCAAAAGAGAGAAATCTCGATTTACTTGGGTCACCTACCTTCGATAATGGATTTCAAGGTATGGCCCACGTTTATCGAGGTCATCACCCGATTTTGGGACGATAAGAAGATGGTCTTTCGATTTGGAGATGTCGAAATAACACCCACACTAGAAGAGATCAAAGATTGCCTTGACTCGATTGGGACGTGTGGCAAAAGGAAAAAGCGTCCCGATCATCACATTCTCTTACCAGATAGGCCAACCAAGAACGAATTGAGAGATATGCTATTCCTAGTGAATGCAGATTGGTTAGAGACCAACGACATTCCGCTGATGAGGTTTTTCGAGAGGTGGGGGCACGACAATTATTTTAGATTGTTCCCGGACGAATTTCATGATCACAGTACTTGGAGGCAAACTCAAGCTATCGCTTTCTCCGCATGCCTCTTGGGAACTATGGTGTTCCCTAAAGACGAAGGTAAAGAGATCGACACCCGGGTAATAATGGTAGTGAATGCCATGTTCAGAGGAGTCGGTAGAAAATCTGAAGAAAAGAAATATTGCTGTTTGGCCCCAGTCATCCTGTCCGACATTTACCGATCTTTGAGCCTGTGCAAGAATGGTTTTCCGTTTTTCCAAGGTTGCAACATCTTACTTCAATGGTGGTTGACGGAGCATCTATGCAAAAGAGACAACCCCCAGCTACAGGGTTTGGCCGAACCAAGTCAAACAAGTCCTCTCGATAATTATGAGTTCTACTTGAGTATCCGTAAATTTCCAATTCACACCACCAGGGATGCGTGGGCAAAGGTGTTTTACAATTTGAAAGAAGGAGACATACAATGGGTATTACCGAGCTTCAGGTCTCAGATGATAGCAGCACAAGGGGCCAAATTGCCATTTTTAGTCCTTCCCGGCATCAGAGGATTGCGTCCTTACAACCCGACACGAGTAATGCGGCAATTTGGGAAAGTCCAAATCATACCCGCCCAAGGAGATGCCAGCTCTTTCATTGTTGATTACAACGAGAAGGACAAAATACCTTTCGCTAAAATTATCCTCCAGGAATGGGCCGGACGCGTCAACATGAAGCGGGAGGTCACCGAAGACAGGTATGGAGCTGGGTATATCGACGAATACAAGACATGGTTGCACAAAGATTTGCGTGGTGTAGTGGATCCAACACCACGCACGAGTCGGAAAATCGAAGATGTGGAGACAAGGCTTCAGATTCACGCGTACCATTTTCAGCAAGAGTGGGACCGAAGGGAGCAGGAATTCTATAAGAAAGAACAGGAATTTCAACAAAAAGAGCAAGCATACCAACTCCGGGAATTAGAAAATCAGAGAGTTTTGGCCGTAATGTCACAAGAATTAGCTGACACAAGGACTTGTCTAATGCGTTTGGACACTGTTTTGGACGAGCAGATGAACACCTTACAAGCCGTACCAACATCTTCCAAAGCTGCGTTCGCTGAGCCATACGTGTTCACCAGCAAATGCATTATCCGAGAAGAAGTGGAGAAGGCCAGAAGAGGAGCTGGATCATCGACCTTTTAACTCCCCTGCGTGGGATTGATTTTATATGTGTATTTGCACTACATCCCCTTCCCAAGATATATCCCGTTTAATTTTGATTGTGTAATGAACGCTATGACATCTAGTGAAATTTGTTTCGGGGGTACAATTACTTATTTAAATGGCGCAATACATCCTTCAGATCGCTAGGCCTACCCTTGGCACAAAAGGGTCACATGCATGTTTAGGACACGATATATTTGTTTAAATGTTTATGTGTTATGTTGCTTTGATTGAGGATATCGTAAACCCACTCCTAGCCAAAATCCTAAAGAGTATACAGAAGCCAACATTACAATTGTCCGACCAAAATTCCCGAGTCTCAAGTTTCTCACACAAAATCCATACCATAAATCCTAAATACCGCTCTATCATCTCAGGAAAGTTGAATCACCGCTATGGACAAAGGCAAGAACGTCCAGACGGAGCTCACTGAGGAGGAATTGCGAAGAAAGATCGAGCGAGTCACTCGAGAGATTCAGAGGGTTAAGGAGGAAGGACTCAAAGTAGACGCGACCACGGCGATCTACAAAGCTGCGGTCACAACATTGGATGAAGATCTGGCGTCACAGATAAAGAGAAAGAAGGAGGTTGAGATGGAAACCGAAAGCCTAAGGAAAAGGTTGAACTTGCTTCGTTTGGAGATACACGAAGGAAAGGCGAGAGAGGCGAAGATAGATATCGAGACTGCTGTGTTGTTGGACAGAAACGCGGCGCTCGACGAGGAATTGGCGACCCATAGCGACCCAAAGGGCGGAAAATACCTCGCCCATGATCTGGGAGCAGATAACAGTGGCCCCGACCGTGAAGTGACTGAGGAGGATGATGAAGAAGAAATAGTCTACAAGCCTCCATTTCCGACTGTCTGAAAGGAAAGGAATGACGCAGCCACAAGACACGAAATCTCCGAATGTGGTCTTCTAGAAATCTCAATGTTGTTTTTTCAATTCCCTTGTAATCACAACGAAAGAATGAATGGAAAATTTTCATCCTAAAATCCGAACTACGTTGGGCCTGAATTCTCCCCGTGAGATACGTAGGCAGCCTTCCCGGCCCGGCCCCTATCACAGAAAATTTTCATTCTCCTCCATGTTTCGGAGATACGAAGATAAGATCAACGGACGTCGCAAAGCAGCTGCAAGAAGACCATAGCTCAACGTGATTCAGATTTCCCAAGATAGCGCCAAACAAACAAATTCCTGTTTGTTCAAAATATATATCCGTCCTTATTCGTGGGTTAAGATATCCTCAAACAAAACGACTTGTGTGCTTATCTGTTTTATGTGCGATATTATGCATTTTGTACTCTGGATATGCACTAACAAATTTGCCTTTGAGTTGTTTTTACCTCTCAGGTACCTTTTTACTGATCTGTGTCAATAAAGCTAGCAGATCATCCTTACTTCACCAGATCGAAAGGTCCTACAGATTCCTTCCCTCGATCAAATTCAGACAAAGGAAAAACAGTTATGGGAGACAACAATGACGAAGGGCATCTTACTGACGTTGTGGTGGCTCAGCCCACTGTAGTGGAACAGAACGAATTGATCATGCAGCTGATGCAACAGATTGCTGAAATGAAAGTTGAAATGCAACGGAGACAGGATGCGCCTCCACCTGGATTTGGTACTAATATTGCTGATGCAAGACCTCCGGTCTACTTCCCTTCATCAAACATAGATCCAACTCAGAACCAGCCTTCTACACCTGTGCATAATCCGTCTGTGATTGACCTCACAACCCAAAACCCTCAATACGCTTCTGCATCTTACCAAACTCCTTCACCTCTTCCAAATAACCACCCTCAAATACCACCCCATCCTCAGAATACTCAAACTGCCCCACTGCCACAAAATCAAAACCAAACTCAAACTGCCTTCAATACCCAAGCATTTCATCCGCATTTGAGTCAGAACACCAATCCTCAGGCCTACCCACAAAACTACCAGACCGCCCAAAACATTCCAAGTCCCTCTATAGCTCCGCCCCTACCAAAAAGAGCCACCTTCCAAGTTCCCGTTCCTGCCGAGCACGAGGTGCACGGTTCTGAGTTGGATCACTATGAAGAACAGGAAAGAGAATGGAAGGCGAAAGAAGAAGTGAAGATCGATATAAAGGAAGAAATCAAAAGGGCTATGAAAGAGCTGCAGTGCATCCCAGACGCCGTCGGACTTAGCTACGCAGAATTGTGCATCCATCCAGATTTGAACCTTCCCGAAGGTTTTAAAATTCCGAAGTTTGACACCTTCGGAGGAGTGGGCAATCCTATGGCGCATTTGAGAGCGTATTGTGACCAGCTCGTGGGAGTTGGCAGGGATGAGGCCTTGTTGATGCGGCTTTTCAGCCGAAGTCTGTGTGGAGAGGCCCTCGAGTGGTTTACTTCACATGAAACCAGGCAGTGGCCCAGTTGGAATGCATTGGCTAAGGACTTCATTGACCGATTCGCCTACAATGTTGAAATAGTGCCCGATCGGTATTCTCTAGAGAAGATGAAGCAGAAACCAACTGAAAGCTATAGGGAATTTGCCTATAGGTGGAGGAAAGAAGCGGCGAGGGTAAGGCCACCCATGACCGAGAAAGAGATTGTGGAAGTGTTCGTGCGGGTACAGGAGCCTGAGTACTATGATAGAATCATGTTGCTGGTCGGAGCTAAATTCGCTGAGATAGTCAAAGTCGGTGAGACTATCGAAGATGGTCTAAAATCGGGGAAGATAGCCCGTGTATCTGCGTCGCCTGGGTCTTCAGGATTGATAAGAAAGCGAAGAGAGGAAGTTGCCGCTGTCTCGTATGGGGGAAGAAAAACCCCTAGAAACCCGTCACATTCCCAAGATCGTTCCAGGCCTTCCCCAAAGTCCCACCGATCCAACTACCCACAACCCAATCATCCTAGTAACCACAATACTGTCCCCACCTATCAGAATGCTCAAATTTCGTCATACCAAAGTACACCCTCTAATCTCCAAAATTTTTCTCCCATATACCCAAATTACCCTCAACCATACCAGATCCCATCCCCTTATCAGAATATTGCTCCCAACTGTGCCAACGTACAGTCGAGCTACCGACCACCTCCGCCCACTTATCAAGTCCAAGCTCCATTATACCAGGACCCCCTCCCGAATTACCAAGCTCCAATGCCAAATTTCCAGGCAAACCCTTATCCCCGGAGCCAAGCTCCTCGTACAAATACCCCAAATTATCAGCGGGTGCCTCCCCCTCGGCAAAGCGGTTATGATACTTCCCGTCCGAGATTTGAAAAAAGGCCTTCAAGGAACTTTACCACACTTGCTGAAAGCTGGACCAAACTATTTGAGAGGCTAGCCGCAGATGGATACATCCACCCTGTGGGGCCCAAACCCGGGGATGTCAACTCAAAGTTCTACAGGCCAGATCAAAGGTGTGCTTATCATTCCAACAGTGTTGGACATGACACGGAAGATTGCATCAACCTTAAGCACAAAATCCAAGACCTGATCGATCAGGAGGTAGTTTCTCTTCAACCGGCAGTGCCAAACGTCAACACAAATCCGTTGCCGAATCATGGAGGTGACAACCTTAATATGATTGAAACGGATGAAGACGGGTGTGGAACAAAGATGATTACCCCTATTATGAATGAGGACTTGGAAAGGGCTGTCGCTTCTTTAAGTGTCAAAGAGAGGAGGAAGTTTGTTATTCTGACACCTGCAAAGGCTGTTGCCTTGGTGCCTTCGAAAACCCTCGTTAAGCCCAAATTTGTCATTGAAACTGCCGTGGCCCAAGGCATGACCAGGTCCGGAAGGTGCTACACTCCTGATGAGCTTGCTCTCGGAGGACAGAAGAAGGACCATGCTAAGAGGCCGATAAGCGAGGGGGAAGCAGAAGAATTCTGGAGAAGGATGCAACCGAAGGACTATTCCATCGTCAAACATTTAGAGAAGACTCCGGCTCAGATCTCCGTGTGGGCCTTGCTGATGAGCTCTCAGTCCCACAGGCAGGCCTTAATGAAAGCTCTTGATGATACATACGTACCCTCAGGTACAAGTAGTGATAACGTGGCCGCTATGATTCATCAAGTCATTCGGGGGCACCGGATCAGCTTTTGTGACGATGAGTTGCCAGTCGAAGGAAGATCCCACAACAAAGCGCTACACATTACCGTGATATGTCGTGGAAAGGTTGTCAACTGTGTTTTGGTAGATGATGGGTCCGGTTTGAATATTTGCCCATTGACGACGTTGAGGCAACTAAATTTTGACCTTGGGAAACTGGAGCAGAATCAGGTCAATGTAAGGGCATTTGATGGTGTGCAAAGAGACACCTTGGGGGCTGTGACTTTGACCCTTCAAATGGGCCCCGCAGAGTTCAGTGCGCAATTCCAAGTATTGGACATAGACACTAGCTACAACCTTCTTTTGGGAAGGCCGTTTATCCACATGGCTGGAGCCGTCCCCTCTACTCTCCATCAGATGATGAAACTTGTGTGGAAAAATGAAGAGTTAGTGATTCACGGCGAGGGAAGTCGCTCGGGCAAGCAGGTGTCGGTCATTGATGAGATGCCGCAAGGCGCAGACTTTTACACGGTGGAGCTGGTGAATGCCACCAACCAAGATTTGGCCCTCAACTCCATGCCAACCGTGTACAAAATGATAGCCACGGTGATGCTGCAAAATGGGTTCGAGCCAGGTTTCGGATTGGGAAGAGATTCCCAAGGAATTATCGAGCCTGTTCCGGTCTTTGCTCAGGGGTTGAAGTATGGTTTGGGGTACATCCCCACAGATGATGATATGAAGATGAAGAGGAGGAGGGATCAAGAGTTGACTAAGCCGATCCCGTATCTCTATCACTCCTTTCCAGTTCGGGAGCACGCCGAGCCTGAAGACGACGGGGAAGGAATCTGTGACCTGTTCAAGGAGATCAATGCCGTCATAGAGGAGGAGGCTGAGCCAGCTGGCTTTCGCGATGCTGAACCGGGGGAGATGCTGAAGAATTGGACGTCCACACCAATCCTGATGTCCCGAACTTTTGGGTAGAAAGGAATTACTTTGTGCATGCCAAAATCGGTGGTCGTTCGGAAGAGGCCCGAGACCCACCATTTCTGCATTTTCTTGATTTTGAATTTTGTTATGATTGTTTAAAGGGCGACGTGGCCTTGTGCCATGACCCAACTTTGCATCTTGATTCAATTTAAATGAAAGCCTCCTTATTTTGACTTTGTTTGTTCGATTGCTTGTTATGTTTTACTTTTCTAATTTTGTCTGTTTATGATTTCAGTAACGTAAGTTACAAACCTGCCAACGTCATGTCATGTCATGAGCTAAACGAACAAAATGAGGTAAATGACGATGAGGCTGACGACTACGACGAAGAAAGTGGGGAACCAGACTATGTAGTAGAAGAGTTTCGACAGTTCGAGAATCAACATAAACCGAATCTGGAGGAAACAGAGACGGTAAATTTGGGAGATTCAGAATGTGTCAAAGAGGTTAAGATCAGCACTCACCTGAATGAAACTCAGAAGGAGAGCCTGATTCATTTGCTTGCCGAATACAGCGATGTGTTTGTTTGGGAGGTCAGTGACATGCAGGGGCTGAGTACCGATGTCGTATCTCATAAGCTGCCTATCAACCCAGGGTTCGAGCCAGTGAAGCAAAAGACTCGGAAATTCAAGCCTGAGTTGAGTTTGAAGATTAAGGAGGAAATCACCAAGCAGATAGAGTCCCGGTTGGTAGAAGTAACGCAATATCCCACCTGGTTGGCGAATGTCGTTCCGGTCGCCAAGAAAGATGGAAAAATCAGGATTTGCGTTGATTACAGAGATCTCAACAAGGCTAGTCCAAAGGATAATTTCCCGTTGCCAAATATCCATATTCTGATTGATAACTGTGCCAAACATGAGATGCAGTCATTTGTGGATTGTTACGCGGGTTATCACCAGATTCTGATGGATGGAGAAGACGCGGAGAAAACGGCCTTCATCACACCTTGGGGGGTATATCACTACAGGGTGATGCCGTTTGGGCTCAAAAACGCCGGTGCCACTTACATGAGAGCCATGATGACTATCTTCCACGACATGATTCACAAGGAAATTGAAGTGTACGTGGACGACGTCATAATTAAATCCCGCGAGAGTTCGGATCATTTGACACACCTGCGAAAATTCTTTGAACGTTTGCGTAGGTACAACTTGAAGCTAAATCCCGCCAAGTGTGCTTTTGGAGTCCCAGCTGGGAAATTGTTAGGGTTTATAGTCAGCAGAAGAGGTATTGAGCTCGACCCTTCCAAGATCAAAGCAATTCAGGAGTTACCTCCGCCGAAGACGAGAAAAGAGGTGATGAGCTTCTTAGGGAGGTTAAACTATATCAGTCGCTTTATAGCACAATCGACGGTGGTATGTGAGCCTATCTTCAAGTTGCTGAAGAAAGATGCCCCAACTAAGTGGACTGAGGAGTGCCAGACCGCTTTCGACGCTATCAAGAGCTACTTGTCTAACCCACCAGTATTGGTTCCTCCACGAGAAGGGAGTCCTTTGTTGCTATATTTGTCTGTCTCGGATAACGCCTTTGGATGTGTACTTGGTCAACACGACGAGACAGGGAAGAAGGAAAAAGCTATCTACTACATCAGCAAGAAGTTTACTCCGTACGAGTCTCGTTACACTTTGCTGGAAAGAACATGCTGTGCTCTGACATGGCTTGCCCAGAAGCTGAGGCACTATTTGTCTTCGTATACTACATATCTTATCTCCAGAATGGATCCATTGAAGTATATTTTCCAGAAAGCGATGCCGACCGGGAAGCTGGCTAAATGGCAAATGCTGTTGAGTGAGTTTGACATCGTGTACGTGACTCAGAAGGCAATAAAAGCACAAGCTTTGGCTGATCATCTTGCGGAAAATCCCGTTGATGAAGAGTATGAACCTCTCAAGACATATTTTCACGATGAAGAAGTGTCATTTGTGGGTGAAGATATCTCTGAAGTTTATCCAGGTTGGAGATTATTCTTTGATGGAGCGGTGAATCACCAGGGTAAAGGTGTTGGAGCAGTCTTGGTATCAGAATCTGGTCAGCACTATCCTATGGCGGCTAAGCTACGGTTCAACTGCACAAACAACATGGCTGAGTATGAAGCTTGCATTCTCGGTTTGAAAATGGCCGTTGACATGAATGTTTACGAGTTACTGGTTATTGGAGATTCAGACCTCTTGATCCATCAGGTTCAAGGAGAATGGGCTGTGAAGAACCCAAAGATTGTACCTTATGTACAATATGTGCAAAACCTGTGTAAAAGGTTTCGCAAGATCGAGTTCAGACATACTCCCCGAATACAGAATGAATTAGCTGATGCTCTTGCCACCATCGCTTCAATGATCAAACATCCAGATATTGATTACATCGACCCGCTGGATATAGATTTGAAGGAGCACCCAGTCCATTGTTCACACGTGGAATCAGAACCAGATGGTTTGCCTTGGTACTTCGACATAAAGAGGTATTTGGAGTCTGGGACATATCCAGAAGACGCCACATCTAATCAAAAGAAGTCGATACGTCGTATGGCTCTCAATTTCTTTTTGAATGGAGAAGTCCTTTACAGGAGGACTCCAGATTTGGGTCTTTTGAGATGCGTGGATGCTGCTGAAGCCGTGAGGCTTATTGAACAGATACATGCTGGAGTCTGTGGCACACATATGAACGGGCTTACCTTGGCAAGAAAAGTCCTTCGAGCCGGTTACTTCTGGATGACTATGGAGAACGACTGTTGCAAATTCATGCAAAAATGCCATAAATGTCAAGTGCACGGAGATTTGATAAGGGTGCCACCTCACGAACTCAATGCTATGAGTTCACCTTGGCCATTTGTAGCTTGGGGAATGGATGTCATCGGTCCTATAGAACCGGCCGCTTCCAATGGACACAGATTTATTTTGGTTGCCATCGATTATTTCACCAAATGGGTGGAAGCAGCCTCTTACAAATCGGTAACCAAGAAAGTGGTGGCCGACTTTGTCCGCAACAATTTGATCTGCCGATTTGGAGTTCCAGAATCCGTCATCACTGATAACGGTGCAAATCTCAACAGTCATCTGATGAAAGAGATATGTGAACAATTTAAGATTATCCACCGAAGGTCAACTGCTTATCGCCCTCAAATGAACGGAGCTGTAGAGGCCGCCAACAAGAACATCAAGAAGATTCTGAGGAAAATGATTGACAAGCAGCGGGGTTGGCATGAAATGTTGCCATATGCTCTACTGGGTTATCGAACGACGGTCAGAACATCAACTGGGGCTACTCCATACTTGCTAGTATACGGAACAGAAGCAGTCGTACCTGTCGAAGTCGAGATACCGTCACTGAGGATCATCCAAGAAGCCGAGCTAAGTAATGCTGAGTGGGTTAGCAAACGGATTGATCAACTAGCCTTGATTGATGAAAAGAGGATGGTTGCTGTTTGTCATGGCCAGTTGTATAGACAAAGAATGACTCGCGCTTTTCACAAAAGAGTAAGAGCCAGAAATTTTGAAGTTGGTCAGTTGGTTCTTAAGCGTATTTTTCCTCATCAAGACGAGTACAAAGGAAAGTTCGCACCAAACAGGCAAGGTCCTTACATGGTCCGCAAAGTACTATCTGGAGGTGCTTTAGTCTTGTCAGAGATGGATGGCGCTGTGTGGCCCAAACCTATCAACTCAGATGCTGTCAAGAGATATTACGCGTGAAGTTCGTTTTGCATTTCCCATCATTTACTTGTAATCTTCTGTTTGCTTGTATTTGTTCGAACTTGAATTCTTATCCCTCTTGTAACGAACTACGTCTGACCTGAATTCTCGAGAATGAGATACGTAGGCGGCCTATGTCGGCTTCGGTCACCCCATTTACCCCCCTTTACTATTTCTTTGTACCTGAACTACGTTCGACCTGAATTCTCAAGAATGAGATACGTAGGCGGCCTTTGTCGGCTTCGGTCGGTTTCTTTGTAAATTTTATTCTTGTTAACCTTTAAGGGGAACTACGTTTGACCTGATTCCTGCCTCAACGGGATACGTAGGCGCCACAAGGGCTCGGTCATACCTCTCGTAAGATTTCTATTTCCCCCTCTACAGTAGAAACTGGGACAAAATTTTTGAGAGGGACTCAAAAATTCTCCAAAAGGAACCTTCTCCTCAGCGGATCAAACTAAAGACATTTCGAGTTTGCGACTGGGACAGAATTTTTGAGAAGATCTCAAAAATTCCGAGATTTGTTCGGTTACAATGGAAAGATGAACAAGATACTAAACTGGGACAGAAATTTTGAGGATGGCCTCAAAATTTCGTCATGGGACTTCCCCACAAGTCCGGAATGCCTCTGAAATTCATTCGACAAGCGTCGGACTCAAAGAAGCTCGTTAAGCCTGACATGACATGACTTGGCATTGACTTTTTCGAGATACTATTTCTTAAAAAATTTCTTGCTTCTCTTAAAAATTTCCCTTTTATATTTCATCTGTTTTGGCATAAGATATTTTCTTATCTATCAAGAGTCGGGAAACCGAGAAATCAACCGAGGACGGCAAGACAAGGAGCAAACAATCGAAGGGATCGACACAGATCAGTATGTTTAAAACTGACAATTTTTCTGTGGATGCAGGTTTATAGCTTCACTTCGAAATCGGCCGAATTCTTCCGACTGATGAATACGGAGAAGGAGAAAACTATCTCCAAAGCCGGTGATTTTATTGAAAGCAAGAAGCATTTCATATCTTTATGCCAAGATGCTTGTGAATGTGTTTGTTTATTTCAAGCCATTCCCCAATACATGAAATTTACAAAGTGCCTGGCCTGATTCAAAGGTAGATCAAAAGGAATCTTAGCGAAGATTTCACGATTTCTATAGAAGACGCTATTTGCATCGCGTTATCAAAGCAAGATGATTATTGTCGATCAAGACAATGCATTACCTCAGAAGAGACAGCTATGCAATTATTATTTTTATCATTATCGATCAAGTCGATATATTATTTGGAGGTCGTCTTGCCGTTACTATTCACGGGGGTAATATAAATAATTATGTACGACGAGAAGATTTCATGCCTCGTCGGAATTTATACATCGCGAGAAGAATTTATGCCTCGCTGGAATTCATGCATCGCGGAATCATGCATCGCGGAAATCATGCATCGCGAGTCAATAATCATGCACGACGAGAAGATTTCATGCCTCGTCAAAATTTATGCACGACGAGAAGAATTCATGCCTCGTCAAAATTTGCACATCGCAAGAAGATTTTATTCTTCGCTGAAAGTTATGCATCGCGAGAAGATTCATATCTCGCGGGAATTTACGTATCGCGGGAAGATATTCATGGCCCGCAAGAGGACGTACTTGGATAAAGAAAGAGCAATACTCATCCATTGGCCTCGACTGCATTCTGTCATTTCTTATAAAAATAAACATCATGGAGAGCATCGAAGATGACAACAAAAGAAGCATCAATGTCGCATCAGCATTTATTTATTTATTTCAACATCAAGTATGGAATACATTGAAGATGATATTGCAAAATACAAGGCATAAGCTTTATTTGCTGGACGTCAGACCGATCGAGTCGACGTCGAACATGGAAGAGAACAATGAAGTGTCGACATGGTAAAAGACACTGTCTCCCATCCTAATTGCATTTTAAGCTGACGAGTTTTATCTCAGTCTTTGTCGAGAGCATCCAAAAGGATGAATTCTCCAAAAATCACAGGTGCGGACGACATCAAAAAGGATGCAGCACAACGTGGAACTTTTTCTTAGCAGCGAACTGGGACATAGTCCAAAGAGGAATGTAAAACTCTTAGGACGCGAGCAGAGGAGCGACTTCCACTACAATCGAACCACCCTCTCGAGGCTTACGGGTTTTCTCTAGTTCTGTCAGTTTCTGTCTCGCTTTCGAAAGTTTTGTTTTACCGGAAGCAAGTTTCCAATCTGAGTGACAATACGCCAAAAGAGTTGGAAATTATGTCCGTGTAAGTTCTTAATTATGGGTGTGAAGCGCGCCACATTCATGGCTAAGAGGTTACAAGCCTCTTTTTTTCATACTCGTTTAATGTGTCACTCGTCCAAAACCGAAGGTTAGCTAGCATAATAGTTTTCCTTTTCCAACGATCGAGTCGAACTACACACAGCCTGATTCCGAAGGTTTAAGGGTATGTAGGCGGATTCAATGTTGAAAACTCGGCTGTATTCCAACATTCGCTCTCGAATTCTATTCTCGAGCATTTCGATACCTTCATAATTCGGTGTCGAGGTGGCTTTTGATTCTTTGAAATCGTGCGGTAAATCAAGCTTATCGAACTACAAGTGGCCTGAATTCTCATATAGCTTGAGATATGTAGGAGACCCGTTTGCAAGGGTTCGGCCATGATTCCTAAACTCTTTGTCAAATCCTTCTTCTTAAAAGCGAATGGAGGTCGGTCAAAATTGGTTTGGTCAATTTCATTTTCCTCGAGTTGCTTGCATCAACCAAAGTAAAATGAGGGACAGTTGTTGACACCCAATTTTGACCCACGTCGGTAGAAATTAATTATCGAGCTTCCTAAATTTTCCAAATAATTCAGATTAATTAGTTTTATAATTTTGCAAAAAATATAACGATTTAACGTTTACATAGTGGTGTATATAGCCGGTATATCTTGTGTATATTCTAAACCAACCCAACTTCCCCCCATCAGCCCACACCCCTCCTCTTCCAAGCCAGGCCCAAGTTCCCTTCAGGCCCAAACGTTCCCAATTCTCCCACTTCTCTTCCTAAAATCGGCCCAACACCCAAAATTCCCCTCAACCCAACCCAATTCAAACCCAACATTCCCCTCAACCCAACCCAATTCAAACCCAACCACCCAAAAACCACCCAAAAACCCGACCCAACACCTGACCCAACCCCAATAACCCGTTTTTCCCCCCCCTTTCTTCTTCAGCCCCATTCAATCAACAGAAACCCAGAACAACAAACGAAACCCGGAAAACCCCCGCGTCTTCCCCACGCTCTCTCGCTCTCTCCCTCATCTCCCCACGCTCTCGTCTCCCTCACGCGTCTCTTCCCCTACGCAACACAGCCAATAATTCCCAGAAAGAAACGCGACAAACTCCCCTGAAATCGCGCGATTCTCAGATCGAAAATCCCCAGAAAACAGACGCGACCTCTCCTCATCGCGTCTCTCCCTCACGTCCTCTCTCCTCTCCTTCCCTCTCTCCCGCGTCTCCCCCACGCTCGCTCTCTCCTTCCCCTCTCGACAGAGACCCATACCCTGCCGCTGTCGAGCAGGTCTGCAACACGCAAGTCGTCGCTGTCGAGTAGGTCTGCGAGGTGTCAATTTCATCCTCTCCAACACGCCTGGCCATGTGGGTTTTGACCCAAAGGGATTTCGATTTTGAGTCAAAAAATGGGCGAAAAATCGTATCACCGACCCTACATAAACCCCTCCCATCTTCATAAAAGAGGAGGGTTTTTTTTCACGAAAGAGGGGGATTTTTTCATCGAAATTCGAAAAAAGTAGAACTTGGGTTGGACATTTGGTCAAAATTAAGGCTGAATCTTTGGTCGAAACTTTTGGAAGCAATTTGAGGTTGGAGATTTCTGGACGAGAAGAAACTGTTTCGTCGAGTGTCGTTGCGACGTTCTTGTTCGAGCGAGCGAAGCAGAGGGTGATTTCGAGTTCGTGATGGTGGTGCTCCGCCTGCTCGCTGTCCCTGTTTCGCTGCACTTAAAGAGGTAACACCCATCTTGACCCTCGACTCTTAGTTGTATTTGCTGTTTGTACGTTAGTGTTTAGGTTGGTCCTAGCTGCTGTGAATTTGTTGTATTGCAGAAGTTGTTTGAAATTTGTGGTTTTGTCTTGTCTTCGCTTGATTTTGTCGCAACTTCCTGAATTTGATAAAGTTTTAAAGGGAACGAACGGTGTGTTTGGGGTATTTCGATCCGCCGAGTCTGTTTCTGCTCGTTTCCTGCTTCTTCCTCCTGTTTGTATTCGTACATGAATTAGTCTAAGGGAATCCTTCGTTATTCTGCTTATAATGAGTTGTAGATGTTACCCGTTTGGTCGAAGTGAAATCCAATTTCACTTCAAACTCTTCTGTCATCATCTTTATTGTTATTTCTTCTTTTGTTTTTCTTTCACTTTGATGTCAAAATGATGTGATGATGGGTTCGACAGAAGCGAAGTAGTGCATTGAATGATAATAGTGATGTCTTATTTTGGAGTTTTGTCCTTTTTCTTTGTTGTTAGTTCGACAAGTCAAATTTTAAATTCAAAGATTGCCATATACATGCCTTGTTCTGTGAAATTGAAAGTTCATTGTTTGGTTGGGTAAGTAAAATCGCCTCAATATAGTTATTTACCTTGGGTCGACTCGCATTTGTCATTACTTTTCTCTTCTGTCGTCTCTTTCATGTTGCGCTAGTCTGACCTTTCTTGTTACATGTTGTCGTGTGTCTATTGATCCGATTAGATACTATCCATGGATATGCATTTTCTATTAAGTTAGTTTGTTTTCTTGTATATGTGCCCGTTGAATCGAATATTAATTCCTTTTGTTTATTGTGTGGCATGTAAAATCCGTTTGAGTTCACCACGAACTCTCCTTCTCCGTATCTCGAGAGAGTCGTAAAGACTCATAGTCTTTTACCAAGCAAGACAACCTTAAGAGAGGCGTACAAGTCATGAAGTTGGAAGGAGAATCCAAAGTGGATTAGAAGACGTTTCTTTATTTTATTTCCGTATTTTATTTTGTAATGGGCATAAGCCCTTGTCATTTTCCTTTCCTTATTCCTCTTATATTTTATCTTGTAATGTTTAGACTAGGACAGGTGGCAAAATGGGTCGAAACACCCAAAAACAGGTGGGTCCAAAACTCGGTCAAGGTGAACAGTACCCGAGTTTGGACCCAAAAATCTCTCTCTCTCTCTCTCTCCTTATTACTTGCTTATGTGCGTTGTTTAAAGTATCGTTAGTGTTAGGACTAGAAAAATCCAAATCTCCTTCGAAA